TCCTGCCCTAATTCTGGCAGCTCTGCGCCTGTTTGCTTGTGTCTTGCCTCCCCTGAAGCTGCATTAGCTGTTTTGATGCCCTGAGGTGGATGCCAGCTGGCCCCCTCTTCAGGACCGGTTATAGTAGGTACTATTTTTGAAAGAGCAGAAGACACCGAAGCAGTTAATGAGGAGAGAAGTATGTTAGCTGAGAAACTCCTGGATTAGGGGGAGGCTTGTATGATGTACATTTAGCTGCCCTAATTGATCTGGTGCCATCTATCATACCCACGCATTGGGGAACATCCACTATACACGTTCACTTGCTTAAACTTTTGCTCAGCACCCACCACTGTAGCCAAGAGGCACCCAGCTGTTAGAGTTATACAACTGCACAGTTACTAAGGCTGCTCGCTTGGACAGCTTGAATTGTTGCAGGCAGTCGCGCTGCCTTAAGCCTGCTGATTAAAGGAGCTGCTTCCCAAGAAGGGTTATGATATATGGGTACGGAGGTGTGCCCACCCGATAGATGTCATCTCTACCTTCTACTCTGAACTGGTCCAAGTGATTTTTTTAGCCTGTCATGTGGCTGGTCACATGTTTAGATGTTAATAACTGTGGCCTCAAATGAAGGGAAAGTGGAATAGGATGGCAGCCTGGACTTTGAGGCTCCCAGGGCTTGGTTAGCTCAGTGCTGCCTGGGGGCTTTTTCTGGGCTGGTTTAAGCTTGCTGCGAGAAATAAGGCTGAAATTCTGATATGTTTGCAGGATCTGGGGTCTCCTCCAGAGCTGTGTGTGGCTTTATGATTTATTGGTCTTCGGGCAGTCTGAGTGGCCAGTGCAAACTGTAAATCTCCTGCTAAATCCCAGGCAGCTGCGTGTGTTTAGGTTGGCCTCGTTCGGGGAAGGTAATGTCAATGCAGCCATTATGATTCAGCCGAGTCGCCTCTGCTGCCACGCTATCCCGGCACGCCTGGTAGTTGAGCTTTCAGATTCATTTCTGTGAAATCGTATGAACGACCGCGTGGACGGTGCCGAGGCTGCGCGCGTTCTGCACAGAGGGCCCGGCGGCCGCGCCGTACCCAGACGGCCCGAGCGAGCTGAGAGCGGCCTTCGCTAATTAGTCCGGAGCCAGGTGGGGTTGAGACGTGCAGCGTTCGCTGGGGCTTGCGTGGTGCCGCACGCGTGCCGTGCGAGCTTCTCAAGGAGAGCGCTTGATTTCCCCCAGGTACGCTTGGGACGCTAATTTGAGTGACTCTGGAAATCCGGGGAGGAATATCTTCTTCCTTAGCTGTGATTATTGTTTAGAGGTGGTGACATTGTTCCACAGTTGTTAATAATTTAAACCTGAAGGTAAAAGCTAATTTCATTCAATTGAAAATGCCTACAGTCAAGTAGGATGTAGAATTTTAACTATGTTTAACCTATATATTTACGTCTCCAGAGCCCTGCAGAAAAGTTAATTATAATTATGTTTAATCAGAAGAAATACAATGTTTCCATTTGCTCCAGTTTTATGCTTAAACTTGTACTCAGGTAACTTCATGTTCGTTGCTAAAATCTCTAATTTTTGGATACGTCAAGAGTTGCTTTTAGATAGCCCAGTCTACTAGTAGACTGTTTGCTGTTGTTAATAGAGATCATTATT